CGCGGCGCGGGCCGCGCGGGGACATGTGTGCGTGGAAAAGTGCGCGCACACCTTTGTGTGCATAAACACATCTGCTGCTCGGAGCGTACCTGGGAAGGTGCTCTGTCTGTCATAGGCGGTTTCCAGAATGAGATGCAGAGCAAGGGATCTGTAGCGAAAACACGCGCACGAGAGAAGGGTTCTGATACTAAACACAAAGCTGTAATTGAAGTGTTTGTGCCCAAATGTACTGTGAGTCAAACATATGGTGGTATTTATCGTCTGGTGGGTCTGTTGGAAAGGTTTGGTCGATCAGTTCTCATTTCACAAAAATAAAATAATGTAACGAAGTGATGACTAAATATAGACTCCCAAGGCAAAGTAGTTTACCCACGCTGTGTACTTTTTGCACGCGTGGAGCACATCAAGGCTGTTCATAAAGTGTAATTTGGATGATGGGACAATATGGTTGAGGAAGGGGGTGTGGCCGGTTGTTTTTAAAAATTAGGCACCTCGTAGTTTTTAAGACAAACGTGTTAACCTAAAATCTTCAGAAGGCAGGGGTCGGGGGTCTTTGAAGACCTTTGTATAGGCCTAAGACGTAAAAAAGCAGCTACCTTTTTAGGATGTGGCCTGAAAGAAACCTGTTATTTTCAGTTATTACTGCCTTCAAAGTAAAATAACATTTTTGCAGCCTTTTTATGTGAGGGTTTGTGTTTTGTTTTGTTTTGGGGTTTTTTTTTTTTGCATACTTTCATTACAATATTTGAAATAGGTGTAGTTGTTATTTTAAAGCAATCGATTTTTCCTCTCAGTATCAGAGACCTAAATTTTCACACACACACACCCCAAAAATGTTTATTTGCAGTAACTTATGCATCTGGACTCCGGGTGGCCTAAAAAGCTCAGTGATTAGACAGGTGCTTTATAGCCAAGGTCAAAGGCTCTTTCCCCTGATTAGCCCTTGAGGGGGGAGCAGCCAGAGGCTCTCTGGACCAGCTCAGGGAAAGGGGGGGAGGGGCAGGAAAACCAGAGGAAAAGGAGTGGGGTTGGAAACTCCCTCCCAACTACCTTTAAGAGAGTTCAAAGCACGGCAGTGGATGTCCTTGGAGCTATTTTCATGTATGAAAGAGGGCATGTTAGATTAAACAATGTCACCCGATGGGAATTTAGATAACTGCAGGTTTCCAAAACACTGGCTTCAGTGTACAGGAAAACAGCACAAGGAAAGCAAGTTTTGCCTTTCAGTAAGATTCTAAAGCCGAGGCTTATTTACTGCAGAACTAGCACCTCTGGGAAGACTACTTCAAAAGTGATGAGAATACAGTAGCTTTTTATGATTTTTTTTTTAATCCTTACCTGAGGACATTTTTTTTTAATTGATTTTAGAGAGAAAGGGAGAGAGAGAGAGAAACATCAGTGTGAGAGAGAAACATCGATCGGTTGCCTCCTGTATGCACCCCAACCAGGGATCAAACCCACAACCTGGGTATGTGCCCTGACCAGGAATTGAACATGAGATCCTAGGGGCATGGGACGATGCTCCAACCAGACTGAGCCACACTGGCCAGGGAGCTTTCTATGTTTTTAAATTTTTTAAAGAGTTGATAAATGACATACATAGGTTACTAAACATAATCCTCTTTTCAATAAGTAAACTGTCTCAGTACAATAAGGCTCATTATCTGATCCACCCAATGAAACAAATCTATTAGCCTAGATCAGCGGTTCTCAACCTGTGGGTCGCGACCCCTTTGGCGGTCGAACGACCCTTTCACAGGGGTCGCCTAAGACCATCCTGCATATCAGATATTTACATTACAATTCATAACAGTAGCAACATTACAGTTATGAAGTAGCAATGAAAATAATTTTATGGTTGGGTCACAACATGAGGAACTGTATTTAAAGGGCCAGAAGGTTGAGAACCACTGACCTAGATTGTTTTTGAAGTTTCACAATGCACGGGTCTTCTCCAGGCAGCAGCTACTATCAAACCAAAGCACTTCCAGTGAAAGAGGACTTCCCGACTACATGATTCTTAATAGGGTCATCTTCAAACCAGGGCCTCCCACTGTTCTCCCTCAAAATGACCCCTTTCTCTCCCTCCACAAGGGGGAACCCACCCTTCTTCAGGTTCATAGGTTCTAAGGCTTCTAGCCTGAAGTTCTTATAGCAGGATGCTTACACACGGCAGGCGGGTGAGGAGCAGACAAGACAGGAGGCACCTATGGGGGAGCATCAGTCTTAAGTGTCCTCGTGCATGTCTGGGCTGTCGGTCCGTGCGACCTTGCGGGGAGGCGCTGAGCTCTCGCCCTCGAGGTCCACTTGCTCCTGGTCTCTCTTCTTGGCAGCGTTCTTTTTGTCCCATTGCTGATGTAGGTAGCGCAAAAGGGTGTTTGTTTTTTCTGTCACGATGATCTGTTCAGATGGGTACTCGCGTGTGGGCAGGTAGACTGAGGGGCGTCGATTCGAGACTTTACACACAGAGTCAGCATGAAATCGACTAAAATTGCTTTTGTTGTAGACTGGCAGTCCTTTCAAAAAATCTGCCATCTTCTGCTTCCTCTGTCGCCGCCTCAGCTACTGCCTCAGCCGCCACCGCCACCACCGTCCAAACCATCTCAACATACCTTTCTCAATCCTTGACACTACATCTTTTTTCACTCCACAACGTTCCCTAAAATTAACTTAATAAACTTTACTTAAATTTTTAAGCCAACTTTGCACTGTACATGCGCACCCGCACGTGGTATTTTGTGGAAGAGCCACATTCAAGGGGCCAAAGAGCTGTATGTGGCTCGCGAGCCATGGTTTGCCAACCACTGCCCTATACCAAGCCGCCGTCTTTCATAATGATAATAATAATCTATGTTTTATACATACCTGTAGTTTACAAGATATTTCTGTGCATAAATTACTTTATTTGAATATCATGATGAAAATCACCAAAGGTGGGGCGGGGCCTGTGCCATCAACTAGTTCCAGTAAAGGGCACCTCACCCGCCATGCTCACTGAAAAGAAACTTTAAGTATCTCTGGACCAAAAAAGCACTAAATGTGGAAAAGCCTTGATTCCCCTTGTGAAGGAGTTTTAAATGAAACCATATTTTGATCACTTTGATTGCTGTATTCTGGTACCCATTCTGAAATGCTGGAGTGGCTGCCACATGAAATCCTCAGATAAATGAGCCACAATAGAAAGGCAGTACATATAGTTACCCTACCCTTCAGTCAGTCTGATATATCCATTATACAAGATGAGAGGCCTCACCAAAATTCAAGCAATGATTAGGCACAAGAATGAGGTAGAGGACAAAGAAGTAACTATTGTTACTAACTTTCAGTGCTTTGTCCTAACCTAAAAGCTGTTCTTATGCTATGAGTGTGTGTTATGTTTCTAGAAAGGAGAAATGACTCTGTTACTAAGAAATTCTCAAGCAGAGAGTCACATTAAGAAGAAAACTTTCTAGCTAATTATTCAACAAAAAGAAACCTCATACCACTAACTGTTACCAGAAGTTACATATATATTGTAAAATGACTGAACAAATCTTGACTTGTTTTATTTCAGTAATATTACACCCAGGGGTGTGGTATGGCAAGATAGCCCACACCTCTGCAACTTTCATCACTCAGGAAATAGAACATTTTAAAGCTTAGGTGACTTAATCCCAGGCCTACAGGATCTCATTCCTGTATATATTTTTAAAGCCACCATGATGGTTTAAGTTGTTTGCATTAGCTGATCTATGTAATTAAGATGTTCAAAACACACTTAATAGCATGAAAAAGATATTTGATACCAAAAATGTTATCCTGGCACTATAAATCTCTTTATATTCTTACTCACCCAGGAACTCAGTGGCTTTACGTCTACAGCATTTGCCCTCAAGTGTCTTACTGATACCCTGTGATATGTCTGTTTCATTCTAACTCAGCTTGTGCAATCTTTGTCTGTGGTTCTTTCAGCTATCAGCTTTTGCCATCTGCACTGATGCACATCTTGGCCACACATCTCAAGCTCTTAGCACACAAGCTCCTTTTCTCCATCTGTGCTTAGCATGCTACTTGTGACCTTTCCTCATCAGTTGGAACCTTGTCACAATTTTCCATGACTCTGTGGCCCAGTTTCATTACAACCATGAACTTTACTTGGGAGTCTTCATTTAAATTACAAAAAGAAACATACAACCATATTGCAAGTATTTATGCCTCTCAGGTAATGGGAATAGCAGGTTGTATCCTGCCTATGTGATACTGTCAGAGCAGAAAACCAACCACACACAGATTGCTAAGTGCTGTCTGTACAGATCACTTACTTATACTGACCAGCCATGTCCTTCCTCAGGGCATCACTCAAGGCCTTCCATTATATTGGTGGTTTTGCCCTTCAGTCATTCAACAAACATTAACTGAATGCTTAGGGTACCCTGTTCAAGAAGCTGTTTACAGTGAACCAAGCAGAGCTTTCATTCTCATGGACTTTACATTTCAGTCCCTTCTCAGGTGGGGGTTGGAAGGGCAGTCAGACTTTCAAAAAAATATATCTCTGTATTAGTCTATAGTTTGACTTCTATAACAAAAATAATATGAAAATGGCTTAAACAAGGCAAAAGTTTATTCTCGTAGAAGACCATTCAGACGTAAGCATTCCAGAGTTGATGAGGTATTAAGGGCGCAGATTTCCCTACTGTCTCAACACACAACTTCCATCTGGTAGTCTAAGCTGGCTTTTCTAGCTCCTGCCATTGCATTCAGATTCCAGTCACCAGGCTAGAAAGGATGAGAAATTGAGAGCGTACGCCTTCTCTTTCAGGACTTGTCTTGGCACTCACACTTATCACTTCCACTCATACTCCATTGGCCAAAACTTGAGCACCTGACTATATATTCAGCTGCTAGCAAGTCAAGTAAACCACATGTACCAAGCTTGTGTAAAATAAGGTGGGGTGGGGGTTGGAAGTGTACCTTATTTTAGAGAAGACTGCTCAGTTAATATGGGCAAAAAGTTAAATGATATGAGTGAGTGAGTGTGTTGATATCAAAAAAGGAGCAGTCAGGCCTGGCCAATGTGGCTCAATGATTGAGTGTCAACCTATTGAGGTCAGGGTTTGATTCCTGGTCAGAGCACATGCCTGGGTTGCTGGCTCAGTCCCAAGTAGGGGACGTGCAGGAGGCAGGCAATCAATGATTCTCTCTCATCATTGGTGTTTCTAACTCCTCTCCCTCTCCCTTCCTCTCTGAAATCAATAAAAAAAATATATTAAAAAATAAAAGAGCAGTCCAGGCAGAGGGAATATCAAGCACAAAGGAAGAGAAGTAAAAGCCAGTGTGCCATATTCTAGGAATAAAAGTAATGCCAGTTGACTCAGGGGCCAGATGTGAAAGGCCTTTTTCTGCTAGTAAGATGGGAAGCCAGTGGAAGGTTTTGAAAGCAGAAAGGTGACATGATCCAACTTCTGTTTGAAAAGGACTCCCCTACCTTGCAGAGGACCCAATGTGATGGTACAGCAGTGCAAGGGGGACTACTGGTCAGGGGGACAGTGCAGGAATCCCAAGGAGAGTGATGGTGGAAGGAGCTGGCTAGAAGAAGCTGCTCTCTGTACATTCTCAACCATGATTCCAAGATCTTAGACCAAACAAGAGAAAGAATGGTGTTGCCACTTACTGAGATAACAAAGGCTAGGAGTGGAGAAAATTACCTCCAGTTATCTGCTGGCCCAAATGTTTTCTTACCAATGCTCATCCACTCTTTTGGTCAGAAAACTAATAGAACATATTTTATCATAGGTGAACGTAAGCTACCGTGCTGTCTCTGCATGCACACTGATGGAAACCATAGGCAGGATTAATTGCCATCCTTTACTGTGCATGTTGCCAGGCACTTTTATTTTTTGTTGTCTGGTTTTCTCAACAACCTGAAGAGGTAAATAATATTGTTATCTCTGTTTGATACATCAGGAAACTAAAGCAATGAGACCAAATAGCTTTTCTAAAGGTCATGCCGCAAATGGCAAAATGAGGATTTGAACTCGAGGTTGTCTGAGTGCAATGTCTGTTTTTTCCACTAAGTGAAAGTAAGCAGGTCAAGGCCAGAAAGTGAAAGTGTTTGCTGGAAAGTCCTCCACTGAATGAGGAGAGCAGAGAAATGCAAAAGTGGTCAAAAGGAAAAACGGCTGGAGGGGAGGAACCCCATCTTGATTACATTTAAATGACCCCATTTCCTAGATCAGAATCCTAAAAATGTTTCTTGAATATAGACACGGTTACAATCAATCATGCTGTACTCTTTGATACTATTAGTGTATCTACTGATTACACAAGCAAGACCTTTGTCCCACTCTCCCTGTCTCTCACCACCACCTCCCCACCCCCTAACCCCTGCCATCACAGGGCAATTTGGGCATGGAGAGTTCTTAAAGACAGGTTTTGTGGGCAAAGATGACAATATACAGTAATTCAGTTTAACTTATTACAAATTTGATAATCTAGTTTTCTTTCAAGCTTTGAATTTTAACTTTCAAATATAACTCTTTAAAAAAAAGATTTTTCGTTGATTTTTAGAGAGAGAGAGAGAGAAATATTGATTGGTATCAATAGGCTGCTTCTTGCACGCCTTCTACCTGGGATCTAACCCACACACATCAATACATGGATGTTGCCCAACCAATTGAGCCACACCAGCCAGGGCTCTAACTCTCCCTTTTAAGAGAATGTTTACAATTTGATTAATTAAATTCCCTTGAATTATTAAACTGCATTTATACATTTAATGTATTCAGTCTTTTTTTAACAATAAATAATACTTCAGTTGCTCAACAAACAAAAGAATCACAAGTAGGTAAGCAGTGTTCATAAATATAATAAACTAATTATAAAATATAATGAATCTTAAGTTCTCTTGAACATTACAAAAAAGGTTTACATATTTAATAAAATTCTCATATCCTTTCAACTGAAATCACATATCTAAATCAATTATAGCTCTCATTTAGATATTTTAAATTGGCATTACAAGGATAACCCGTTAGACATTCTAAAATGTAAAATTATCTTCAGGAAACTAAACATTGCAAATGTTTAAAATACCAAATGCAAGGTATGCATGTTATTTCTAAACATAAAATTAAAATATTATTCTGAGCTTACTAGAGCTCTTCATGTAACTTTATGCTTTCCTGAGGCTAAAAGAAATGCATGCTAAATAAACAGTTCTACTGACTCAGGTGAGTTGGGATACCTTTCCAGTGGGTTGAATGGGTTGTTGTCCTGAGAGGCTCTGGCTGGAGATGCAGACATCAGGGTCGTATTTCTCGCAGCTGATCAGACATGCGGACCCATCCTTAAAGCCAGCCAATGGGAACCCCCAAGTTCTTTTCTTTTTTTAATGTATTTTTATTGATTTTGGAAAGGAAGGTAGAGGGAGAGAGAAATGGAAACATCCATGATGAATGAGCATCATTGATCGGCTGCCTCCTGCACGCTCCACACTGGGGATGGAGCCCGCAACCCAGGTATGTGCCCTGACCAGGAATTGAACCGTGACCTCCCGGTTCACAGGTCGACACTCAACCACTGAGCCATGCCAGCTGGGCTAGGGAAC